CCCTACCTATCTTCATACACATCTGTCCATCCATCCAACAATGTAAATGTTTTTCAAGATTACTGATTAGGCTTGGGACAGTTGTACAAAACAACTAGGCTGGAATTAATTAATCAATTTAGCAGTATAATCGTGGCAGTAGCTAAACATTATCTGAAATTTGTATTCCAAGTTTAATTGCTTATAGTTTTTTAAATTGCAATCTCATCTGGAAATACTGAGTGAACAAACTGGGAAAAAAATGAGTAAGAGGGTGAAATCAGATTAATTGTTTCACTTTTTTCTGTTTATAGGTTTTTTTTTTATAATGTGGACCAAGACAGCCACTATTTGGGATTGTTAGACTAGAAAAGAGAAATTAACAAATAGAGAATTACTTAATAAGGAGGAAAGAATAGCATTTACTCAAGAGATCTTTTGTCCCTCCTGAGACTACCCTGTCCACAGTGTCCAGGAAATGTTTCCGAATTAATTTGATCCTTTCCTTATGAAGATGGATCCAATGTTGCAGCTACCACTTAGTTACATTAATTTAAAGATGCTTCTGGCTTCCCTTGTGTGACTGCATATACAAGTAGTCCTCAACTTATGACTGTAATTGAGCCTGGAATTAGTTGTAAGTGATGCTGGCAATTGTGGGTCACGATGTGACCATTCCCGGCTTTATTACCGATTTTGTGGCAGTCATTAAATGAATGACACATTTGTTAAGCAAACACCCTGGTCATTAAGTGAACCAATTGTACCCAGTGGGCATTTTTTGTTGGAAACCAGAAGTAAACACTGGTTTCTGGTTAAAAAAAAAAATTGCAAATTGCAGTCTCAGGACCATAGGGCTCTGCAAATGGCCGAAAATTCAGGCCAGTTGCCAAACTCCCACAATGCAATCAGATGACAGTAAGAGGAGGAGCTTAAATTGAGTTTTTTGGAGTGTTTGAGGGGGTTCCTTTGAAATGGTCTTTTATAGCTTTTTTGGAGGGAGGGGTCTGTTGTAATTTCAAATGGTTGTTAAGCAGTTCTAAGTCAAGGAGTACCTGTATATCTGTGGTACACACAGTGAAAGAAGATACTACAGAACAAGCAGTGGGTAAAACCACTGATCTAGACCACTTCCTCTCACTTCTGAATAGTATATTTACATCAATCATGGGGGTAAATCAGGAAAGCAGGATCTTCATGAATAGACGCCAGTTGGACTCGGGCACCTGCATAGACTGCCATAGACCCTGGTTACTCCTATTACTCAAATATGTGGAATGG